CCCCCGCCCCCCCCCGCCTGCCCGAGCCACCCGCCCCCTGCCCGACCCCACTCGCCTGCCCGAGACAACCGACCCCTGCCCGACCCCACTCGCCTGCCCGAGACAACCGACCCCTGCCCGACCCCACACGCCTCTCTAAAACAACTGACCCATGCCCAACCCCACATGCCTGTCCAAAACAACCCACCCATGCCCGACCCCACACGCCTGTCCAAGACAACCGACCCATGCCTAACTCCACACGCCTGTCCAAGAGAACTGACCCATGCCTGACTCCACACGCCTGTCCACCTCCACATGCCCATGTCTACCTACTCCCACCTGCCTACTCAAGCCAACTGACCCATGCCTGACTCCACACGCCTGCTTGCCCATACCCACTTAGACATACAGGCCTGCCTGTCCAAGCCAAAAGACCCAAGCCTCCCTCTACATACCTATCTGCTTGCCCATACCCACCTATGCATCTGCCCACCTATGCCTGCCTGCCGAAGCCAACCTGTCTGCCCACACATACCCACCTAACCATGCCTGGGCAAGACAACCTACCAATACCTCCCCCCACATGCCTGTCTGCCTACCCATGCCCACATATACTCACCACCTGCCTACCCCCTCTGCACACAACCAATGCATCTCAGCAGAGCAAGCAGCAACATGTGTTCTTGCATATCTTGTACAAGTGGAAACTCTGCAGAGGGCGAGTGTGGTTTTCAGCAAGCCATGACACAGATGCACCCTCTCACTGACCCTCTTGCTTGTCAGAGCTGAGATGCAACTTGATCCCCACAAAAGGCTCTGCCCTGCAAGTCTGCATCTCTGGCAGGGAAGTCACTGCAGTGCCAGTTGCAACAGGCAAGGTATCTCTCCTGCAGCACCTATATTTCTAGGGATAGGCTTTTGAAAGAGGCTATCCACTGAAGTGGTCATAGCATGATGAAAAGGGACATCACTGGATTTACAGGCAAAGGGGAGAAAAAAATGAAGAGCAAAAAGCCGGGGAAGTTAGGCTGATGAAATGACACACTGGGGCCTGGATTCAATATCTGGCCCCTTTTCTCTTCACCTTTATTGGTTACCCAAATAAAGGATACCCAAAACTAGGTGATGTACGTCACTAAAGACATGAATCTGCTCCCACACACTTTATGTAAATGTTAGATGCGACACAAGTAAGAATGGCAGCCAGCTACGTAGAGTATTGCAGCAGTACAACGGTGGGCACTGAGTTTAGGCACGTGCATGTCTTGATAGTTCTATAAAGATATTTTAAAGACATTTATTTTTGGGCATCGGGTGAGAAATTGCTTCAGAAGGTGGATCAAATTGCATATGCATTTGGGCTAACTTTGGGGGTAGTCTCTTAAAACAGAAGATTCTATAACAAGCACGGTCTTATTTACAATTTGCATTGTAGTCTCCAGGATATGAGTTATGAGAGGTGGCTAAGTACAACTGGAAGTACTGCGAATGTCAGCTTCTGTCTCCCATCTTTCATACAGTTCTCCCCACAAATGTCTTTTTTTTTCATCCCAACCTAATCTGTTCCATAAGGCATTCTTATGCTCTGCATCATGAGGGAACTGCATCCTCAGGGAACTTGCAATAAAAACAGGGGAATTTCTATACAATTCTTACAAAAATGGCGGCTTTCCCTTATCAATGGGGGGGTTAACATATATGCAGGTGACTGCTGTCTAATGCGCTGAAGGGTTGGGATTGAAGGTTTTTGCAATATAGGTGGCAGCTACTCTATTTCTGCTACATCTTTTAAAAAGAAGCAAAGTGGGTAGCTAGACCTGACGCAGCACGCCTGGTGAACATTTACCCTTGATTTATATAATGATAGTTTCAGTATTATTCTGTAGCTCTTTCTTTGCATACCCTATCAAGTTTGCATTTCTGATTGCCTCTTCATACTGAACAGAGATTTTTTTCAATGATGGCTTCGTAATAATGGCCAGTCCCTTTCTTAATGGTTATCATAAATTTAGTATACAGTGATGTAGTTCATATTTTTCTGATATTGATCTGAGGAAGTGGGTCTGGCCCATGAAAGCTCATCACCTAATAAACCATCTTGTTAGTCTTTAAAGTGCTACATAGTTCTGTCTTTTGTTTCAGCTAGACCAGACTAACACGGCTGCATCTCTATCAATATTTTTCTGCTAGGGCTCTTCAGAACTACATTTTCCTTTACATGCTACAAGTGGTCATACTCAACAGGAAGGGACTCTTGGGCAGATGTCATTCAAGTAAGATGTTCAACTCTGCCAAGACATTTTCCTCCAAATTTCAAAAAGTTTATTTTCATGAATAATTAAAAAAACACAGATAAATACCAAGAAAAGCAACAAAATGTAAATGCATCTCCCAAATTTTTATATATAACACAGAGAATCAGGCTCCTTGTTGTGACAACACTGACTGCCCCCCTGCTTGCTCAGTGACCTCGTGGGTGGATATGGAATAAGGATCCTGGGCACCCATAACAATACCTGGCAATTCCATAAAGTCTGTGTGAGAAGTTGGCAGGAATGGGGATTTATTTATGGAGGGAGATGCCAATCAGGACTTCTCTTTTTGCCAGCAACAGGCACATGGATTTATTATAGCGATGTTAAATTGTGGTTATCTGGCTAATTATGTAATCAATACAATTAGTATCGACTGCACAATTAGTCGTTAAGAGGCAGAGCCACAGTGAGGGTAGCTCCTGGAGCCAGCTGGCGCTGTGACTGAGCTGTCCCGGGCTTGCATTGCCAGACTCTTATTACATTTAAAATGCAGAGGTGCAGCATGCCAGACCATCGTGAGCCAGGACTGCTCGGTCCCGGCTTGCTCCAAGTCTAGAAGACCCCTGGCCGTGTCCAGTCCTCGCTGCTGCAAACAGAGGCTGCCAGAGCAGCCTTCCCTATCCCTCCTCCCCCAGCCCACTGTCTCTGATAGAGGCAGCGGGTGGGAGGGCAGGCAGCATTGCAGAGGTCGTACATGGGGGAACTGGCTTTTAAGCCAGCTCCCTCCAGCACCGGCTCCTGTCCTGCTCCTTGCTACCTCTCATATACAGGCAGTGGGGGGAGAGAAGGGGAGAGAGTAGTTGAGTACTCTACTACAGTGTTTCTCAACCTCTTTTTATAAAGTACCCCTTTTTCACACACACAAAAATTATAAGTATCCCCAGTACCTACAGTTTTCAGACACACAATTTTTTTTCTACCATTGCAACATATTTGTTTAAACAACTTAATCGTAGCTGGGCGGCTGATGACATTTTTGGGTGTAAAAAGTACAAAAATAATAAAGCGCTGTAAAACGTAAAACAAAATTCCATTTTCTCCAAATTTCAGTTGTGTTGACGTACCCCCCCAGACTTCTCTCGAGTACTCCTAAGGGTACTCATACCACTGGTTGAGAAACACTGCTCTACTAGACTACCCAATAAGCTTATGCTCATCAGGGAGTCAAGTAGTCAACTACTTGCTAATATCCCTAATTTATTACTGGACGAACACCAAGCTTTGGACAGTTCGAATCCATAATCCTTATTGTCTACTGAAAGGGAATAGGGTTCTCATATGAAGCAGGAAAAATAGCTTCTTTGCCCAGTTCATTGCTCCAGTGTTAAACCCCATGCAAAAGGGGAAACCCAAAGGGATCTCACATCTTTTTCTCCATAACCAGTCTACACAGAAGACTTGTCCAAGAGGTGGTTCTGAGTAGGGTTTCCCTCCCATTAACACACATTCAACAAGGTACATTTTTTCCCCGTGAACTAATTAAAAGACAATGTGTAGGCATAGGGCTAGGGAAGAATGTAGTTCTATGTGTTTGGGTTACACACGTCATCATGTGATGATTGGCTGTGTTTCCTAAGCCTCCAATGCAACCTTTTAAACAAAAAGCAAAACAAGAATAAAATAAAAGGTTGGTTTTTTGAGAGAGCGAGCGAGCGAGCGCTGCCTGGAGGGTCCGTGTCCCTTAATTGCATTCCACTAAGACACCTTTACTTTGCCTTTCTCAGGAACTGCCTCGTGGGGATGTGGCTGCTCATCACCATTCACCAGCAGGATCCTCTTCTCAGACGGCTGCTCCTCAGGCTGGCGGGCAATCAGTAAGCGGCAGGTGAGCAGGATCCCAAAGACTAGGGCATGGGCATAGCGCTTGAGTGGGTCACCCACTAACTGGTGAAAAAAGAGCACCGCCAGCACAAGCAGCAGGAGGAAAAAGTTGGCCACGTCCTTGGGGCGTCCGGGAACCAGTGTCATGACAATGCCACATGCCACCTCCAGGGCACCAATGCTCTTGCGGAGAAGGATTGAATTGATTCCCATCTTCTTCAGTATGGGAAGGGCACGGACATAGCCTTTGTAGGCTCGTTTCTGGAATCAAACAGTAACAGTACAGCACTCATTAACAAAGAACAGTAAAGGGTAGAGAAGGATAGACTCCGTCTGCCATTTCATCCCATAGGATTGCACAATATTTTATTGAGTTAGGCACATATATAAACTCTACATAAAGATCACTTCGCTCATCACTGTTGTAGAAATATGTCTGAGGTGGTATACAGCAGATGTTTGGCATCACCACTAGGGAATCTGTTGGATCAATATTCCCTCTCCCCCCAACTTCCAGTAATCACTTTCATGACCTCCTCATCTTTCATAACTGGAAAACATAGATCTTTGAAATGGAAATAAGAGGCAGTGACTGTCAGGCTAAGACCTAGCTAAGCAGCAGGCATACATCCTACATGTGCTTGGACAATGAATTACTAAAATCCAAAGATGTTATTTATTGCTAAAATTAATGATGCAGAAAAAAGTTGTCAAAAAAAAATCCCTCCCCGAAATTGACATGCCTTTTTTAATTAAAAGGAAGATCCTAAATAATGCATCTTAATCCCTGCAGGGATGGAAAATAAACCAAAATGCATGGTGAGCCATCAGGGCAGGCATTGTGGGATATTGGTGGAAGCCAGTTCGGAAGCTAGTTCTGTTGACAAAACAAACAAGAGTCTACACTGGCTCTTTTTGACAACCAGGCTCACAGTCAGGGGGCACAAAGGGGGTAACTGTCCCAGGCCCCAGCAATTCTAAAGGGGCTAGAACTCCAGACCACTGACACCACTACTGTGGCAGTTTCAGTGTCTGGCGCTCTGGGTCCTTTAGAATAGCCGCTGGACCATGGCACTGTATGCTCCAGAGCCCCACACTCCAGCAAGCTCTCAGGGCAGTTTTGGGGCCACAAAACTTGGTAGTGTAGACGTACCCATAGCTGAGGGCCATACATCAAAGGTAGGGCATGCTAGAGCATGCTTTTTCTCTTCACCTGTCATTTTATGATCTTTTCTTTCCTGTACAGAAAGCAGGTTGGTAGTTGTCATCCTGGTTCTGAGGATTAATACCGGATTTGCAAACAATCTTATTAACAACAACCTAGTGCCAATTGTCAGTGGGAGAAAAGCAGGTATCGGCCAGAACAACCTAACTTATTTCCCCACAGATATTCAAGCTCTTGCATTCCAGTATTACCCAGTGAGAATTCCTCTCTCTTTGAATACACTTTCAATTTTATTTTTTGGGGGGGGCGGTTATAGAAGTCTCTGGCTTAATAACAACACCTAACAGTATTTTCACTCCCACTGGAGTGTACAAGTCACCACAGATATTCCCGACATACTGGATTCACACCCCATTTTCATCTTTCTTAGGAGAAGAGAAATGGTGGACACAGATATTCCAGTCAGTTTAGAGCTAATATGAGCTCAGCAAAGCTGACCAGTAAGAATCAGTGACTTAATCAATTTGTCAGTAAAATGCTCCCAATGTCATTATGTAAACTCGGCCATAACCAGCGTTCCCTGAGAGCTGAGCATGTGGGGAGCTGCCCAGATTCCAGTAGAGTGCCCACAGCCTCTCCCAGACGGCAGCATGTGTTTCTATTGGGGGTGCACATCTGCAAACGTCTTGGTGCACGTCAAAAATATTCCACACATGGATGGAAAAATTAGAGGGAACATTGGTCATAACATCCAGTCAGATGCATGCAGACAGCTTTGCTTTCTCATCTTTGTAAAGCCGATACTCCCTTCCAAGAGTAGTTGATGTGTTTCACAAAAAAAAAAAAAAAAAGTCATTGCATTCTTGTTGCCATAAGTGTTAGCATTTCTGTTTTAAACCTACCATTAAAATATACTTTAAAACAAAGCTTCTTCCCAAAGCAGCAATTTTTGTAATTTGGCAGTCGTACTCCCTAATCACTAGATATTTTTACTAATGTAATAAACTGGCTCATGAGTATGTCCTTTGCTGGATGTACTTAGAAATGCTCAGCTCAGTACTAGGCCCTATACTGTATACAGCAAACAGAAGTTCTTCCCTTAGCTCAGGTAGCAAAGGCTTGTGCTTTTTGGAGCAGTAGGATTTCAGTTCGAACTCCATTGTTCCTGTGGAGTTACAAGAAGCCATCAGGTTCAACATAAAAGTAACCACGAAGTTTTAATGGGCCAAAACTAGCACAATACAATATAGCACACATGATGTTGATGGTGTCTAATCTATGTGTCTGGGTTTCCTGATTTATAAAAGCGGGACAATCATTTTTACCTACGTCACAGGGCCTACATCACTAATGTCTGAAAGCAGAAAGGAGCAAAGGGTTATAATCGTCATGATTAAGGATTGTGTAGTGTGTTCAAATTCAAAATCTTGTTTCATTTTACTTATTTACATTATCATAATTTGGGGAACTGTGGTTTCTGGATGTTTTCTCCTTCCTTTTGCCCCTACCCTACAAGTCATCTCTTCACCCCCACCCCCTACTGAGTGCTGGTTCTGTGGGAACCACCAAAGCCACTGAGACTCAGGTGTTATTTGGGAGCTAGGGGAAGGCAGCTGAGCAGATGCACTGAGAATGTGCTGGAAGCTTCCACCATTGTTCCCAGTGAGCCAAAGAACCTCAGCAAAACCTTCCAGCCATGTCAGAAAACGAGAAAGCATGAAACATACAAAACCACAGAAGAGGAAGCGAAGCACAATTGCTTCCATAGCCTGAAGCTGGTGGCAGATCAAGCTGCACTGGTTTTGGCTCTGGGCAGAAAGAATGAAGGAAAGTGACTGACTGATGGCTGTGCTAATCCTTGCTCTCTTATCAACCCCTCTCTGGTGTTACAGAAAGACAGGCAGGCTCGCTGCCCAGTGCTGAGGGGAATGATAATAGCTTGTCTTTTCTAGCACTTTCTGACTAAGGAGCTCAACCTGCTTTCTAGTCCTTAATTAGTCCTCACACAACCCCTGAGAGGTAGAGTCATTCAGCGTCATCACCCCCATTTTGAGGCACAGATCCTTTCAGCACCCTTGAGTATCTGGCTCCCAAAGTAGGTATATTCCCTGCCCCAAGTCCTTTCCCTGCCAGGGGAATGGAAATGCCCCTTTCTGGGTGACTGATCGGTCTTGTTCTCTCCCTCTGACCACAGGGACATTAGACTGGCTTTAGCACTCCTTTTTTTTAAAATTCAAGCAGAACATTAGACTGGCTTTAGCACTCCTTTTTTTTTACATTCAATCAGGTATTACCCGCACAATCTGCTCAGAGAGCGCCAGACCCAGGACTGTCGGCAGGATTTGCTTCTCAGCAGCTGGGATGTATTGGTTTCTTTGTTTCCCACCAATTAGGAGAATGCGCGTCTCTCGGTCCTCTCCCTCCCTTCTCCCCCAACCAGGATGTAAGGCTCCGCTGCAGTTGCTACCTGTATCTCCTCCAGCAGAAACCCCCTCTGCATGGCTGCTCCTGTTGCAAGGTTGTGGGGATGAGAGGAACACGCAGCCCTGCTAGCAGCATGTCTCCCGTCACTGCCACGGCTGCTGTACTCACCATCTCATTGTAGGCATCTCTGCTGAGCCTTGGGGTCAGTTTGATCGTCCCCATGAAGACAAAGAAAAGCCCCAGCGCCACGGAGAGAGCCACAATGGTTACAGTCCTGGGAGATGCCATTGGGCCAGCGAGTGCACGTCCTAACTCGGCCTTCTTGCTCTCTGTCTGTGCAGGAGGTGGTCAGTCACCATGGAAGGAAGATCAGGAGCAAGGCTGCAGAGGCAGAGACAGAGAGAGAGGGATTCTGCCTCTTCCACTCAGCAACCTCTGGGTCCTAATGTCCCACTAGTCATGCGATATGTTAATGATGCGGTATTGTGCTGCCACTTGCCCTATAATAAAATTAATGATTTAGAGCAGTTTACACTTATGTAGCCCCTTGCTGATCCAAAAGTACTTTATGAAAGACATACAGCAAACACTTCACCCGCCTCGGGGATGGAGCGTGGCAGCTAGCTGGGTGCATAGGCACAGTGTGCTCCAGTGGCAGCGAGAGGCTATTTTGGCTAAGGAAACTGGAGCGAATTCTTACTCTGAGGAAAGGCACTCTAGGATTATTCATACCCAGGCAGAGCAGTCTGCACCTCAGTTTGTAAGGGCTCATTCAAATGTTACAGACGGAAAATTGTATGGTGCTCAGTTTAGCTTCATCAGAAGGATAAAAGTTGGCATCATCCTTTCTGGAATTTGAGCCTGTGTTTCCAGCTGAATTTGGTATTTGCAAGTGGAAACTCAGTCTACTAACTCATACCTTCATCCTTTAAACAAAATATATAGCTCTTTGCTCCAAGTGTTTAATTCAAGAGCTCAATACACAGATGGAAATTCTCTCTCAATCCTGTTACCAGTTGATTTAAAGTAATCATCTCTTCTCCAGTTCACATTACAAACTATGTCACTTTCTTTTGGCAAAGATGTATCCTGGCTGAGCAGAAATTCATACATATCTTGCCAAGAGAAGCCAAACTTTTGATTCCTAGGGATGTTTTTAAGCTCCTGGAGCCTGAGTGGAGTCCAGCCACTGCCCCAGGGTCAGGGTCCCAAAGCACATGATCAGGTTGCTTGACTTCTATCTGGCACCTCCTGGAAGTGCTGGAACCTGCTATCCAGGAGTCTAGCCTTTTTGTGTGAACCTGACACTTTGGACTCCCCTGTACTCTAAGATATCCCTCTCCCAGAACACCCCCCTCCCCCCGAAAGGTGAAACACCTGTATGGTTTGCATTTTATGTATTTGGGGGCATACAGTAGTTGTGCAGCAGTCAACATGCACACACTTTGTTTAGTCTATCAACTTTATTTAAATCACACTAAAGAGTAAAGCATCCTAAATGCAGTGTCCCTCCCTCACTTGCTGTTTCTATGAGAGATCATCTGTGTTCTGGCAGCCAAGATCCTAGCTTCTTGCCTACCCTGCCTCTGCAGCAGCCTTCCTCATCTTAATCTGTGGCAAGATGGCTCCCTGCCCCCCC